ATTTCTCAGAAAGATTCTTTATTTTTTGCTTAAACTTTTCAAACAATTTATTTTATTATTACTTTGCATGCTCTTTATCCCTTTGCAACCGTACGCATTTAATCTTTCCACGCAAATTTTCTTGCATTCAACGGACATTATTATACGAGCATTCTCTGTTTCTTCCTCTAGCAGGAATCGATCGTGACAACAAACGTATCGTAGATGGCATACTTCGATAGTAAATTCCCGAAGTCTCCACGTCGTGAAAGCCAAGCGTGACAAGAGAAGCGAGGCGCTATCGATGCACATAAGTTCGATCCGGCAGGCGACGAATTGAAATCTTGATTTATAGCAGGGTATATACGACCCCGAATCTCTTCGTTCGCGTCCCGCATCCTGGTAGAAAAAGTAGCGCAGGAAAGTTTCGTTTCAAAAAGAATTTGCTATTTTATTTTTTTTTCCTAGCCTAAGATATACGTCTTTACAAAAGTTTCTAATTTAACTTTAATTTGCACAGTATGTTTTAAAAAAGTATCCGATATCTTTTATAATCGTAACTTCTTCGGATAGTTTCAAGACCTCTTCCTTAGAAAAAAATGTCAAGTAGACTTTATGTAGAGATTATTTGTAACACTTTTCTAATTTTTACGTTGAAAGAACGATTATGCTAAAGTATCTAAAAATTTAGACAGATGCAGATCTGAAAATAATTTTGTTGGATTAAAATAATCAAGTAAAAATCTTAAGCTTGATAAGCATCAAAATGCTGCAAAAAGTTGCAAAGTTTTAATATTTAGTAGTTTCAGCGTCCTACATAATTATTTAGTTCAACAAAATTATTTTCAGATTTATATCTAGCTAAATTTTTTCAGGTACTTCAAGAAAATCGTCTTTTTTGTATAATATTGTGAGTATAAATACACTACAATAAATTTCATTTTTACGTAATCTATAATAAAAAGATGTAAGATAAAACATGAGGACATCAGACAAAATTTTAAATCGTGAAAGTTTGTTGAATTTTAGGTAAATTCTACAGGGCATCAAATAAAATCACGTAATCCCAATCCCTGCGTATTCCTTGTTTATCTACGAATACGAGGGCTCAGCCTTCCGGTCGATGCACTTGTCGTCACGAAAAAGCGAGGGGTGTGGCAACGAGAGATGAAAGTACTCGCGCATAAGGGACACCTGATCTAGTGACATACGAAGGATGAGGACGCGATCCGCCTCCGTCACTCCGTGCTCGCTTGCGCGTGCAAAAGCGGGAAGAATTCGTTGCGAGAAGGAACGCGAACGAACGGGTTGCCCTCATAGGTATGCACTGAGCGCAGTGAATGGATACGCTCCGAGGTGATACGGTGTTAAATCTTTCTGTCAGAGATCGGTGAAATCTCTCGGGTGGAGCACGCGTGATCGTGGCAGGCTTCGTCCTTTGAGGATCTTCGAATCGACTCCGCGCATTTTCCCTGTTCATTCTAAAGGCATCCCTCGTGCTAGATTCCAGGATTTTATTTTTCATTTCTACTCGCAAATATATTGAAGAATATATTGTAACTCTTAATTTGTGAAATATAGATGTGGTTTGCTCAAATATAATTAATCTATCTTCAATTATTACGTGTTTTTATAGCTTTTTTAATTGATCTTTATAGGATGAAAAGTCATAGTGGCACTGGAATAATGTAAAAAATAGTGTCGTTTTAAGACAAGGACAAAGTACAATAAATTATAATAAATTTTATTCAAGGAAAAGATAAAAGTTTAAAAATAAATCCCCTTCTTTCCGATTTCTAAAGATTAATTTCATCTACAAGCGAATAAAATTGTTGCAGATATAAGTATTGTAGTATGATAATATAAATACGTTCATGCTTATGTACATTAGCAATTAACAGAAATAATAATATAAAATATTGAACACCTATTGAACCGTATTTTTTACCGATATTTTTTTCTTTTGCAGACAATTACATAATTACAGCGATATATTATTTTAAACTGAATAAAATCTACGTAATTAATTAATATAACACTTATCTCGAAGCTGCCAGCCAATTGCATTTAATAAATTTAAGAGCTTAATTTATAGCACTCGTATAGGTGACGTAATCGATTGAAATCTTAGAAGTTCGCATGCGGAATATATTATCAGAATATTCATGTTGGTCGATATTAACGAACGTTACCGCGAAATATCGTGCGTTCAATGCACTAGTGCGTGTCATCGGAACATCAGCTGGATTTCAGTTTCTCTGCATTTTCGAATTTCGGGATATTTTTGAGCGAGTATAAAAAATAAACAACTTGATCAATTTTGTAACGTAACTCGAATTTATGATATATATTAAAACATAA